TCCTTCCTTCCTTCCTTCCTTCCTTCCTTCCTTCCCTCCCACCCTCCACTCATGTCTGTCTGCCTGCCTGCCTACCTACCTACATACCTATCTATCTATCATCTCTAATTTATACGGTCCATCTCACTGAAAACAACTCTGGGTGGCATACAACAGTGAATAAATACATAAAATCAGTGATTATTTGTTATAAAAGACTAAAAGAAACCACACAGAACAAAACAAGGACATTTGTTACTGTTTTCAACAGCTTGAAAAAGTTTAGATTCTTTTCCTATCCTGGAAAAATGTACAGGTCAAGATTGTAAACCTCCACTGAAATATAAAATCAGGGAAAGCTCTAAAATACATAGATTTCCTTTTAAACATTAAAGCAGTGTTTATCAACTTTAAGAGGACTTCAATTCCCAGAGTTCTCCCAGTCACTATATTGGAGTGGCAAAGCTTTGGATGACCACTAGAGGGCAGCAAAGAGGTGCGAATCTCCTTGCTGCCATCTAGTGGTCATTTCAGTGGTGGTGAGTGGGATTCCCAGAATTCCCATGGCTGGCTGGGGAATTCTGGGAGTTGAAGTCCGCTCATCTTAAAGTTGCTAAGGTGGAGAAACAGAAGCTCTAGAGAATTTCACACTGGTAATTACAGGGAATCAGGAAGAATGCTGTACTTGTGGCATTAAAAAAAATACACGCTGGATGGAATTGCACGCTCCATTTGAATGCGTGAAGTCTGTGTTTAGGGGACATTTGGCAGCCAAGGAATCAGGAAGAGATTGCAAATTGTTCAGAGCCACCTGTATTTGTGTGAATTCCAGACCAAAATACTAAAAACTCTTTCTGTGTGACACTTCTTTAGGAGACAGGCTGTTGCAAATGGCCTTTCTGCTAACATTCATCTTCACACCTTCAAATAAATAAATAAAAGTTGGAAGTAGCAAGCCACACGGCTTCAGCGAACTGCTACAACATCATCTGTGGCTGCAGACAGAAGGAAACAAAAAGGCTAAATTTAAAGAAAAATAAAAACCAAACTTCTCCCCACCTTGCAAATCAAAACAAAAGAAAAACGAGCGATCCACACCGTTGTAAATACTATTAAAAAACAGTGTGACATGACATGACATCCTTGGAATTTACCGTATGAAAATCAATAGACTTTCCCCCTTGGATTTATAGGGCTGGGGCATTAATCAATAAATCATAGATCACATTCAGATAACATCTCAGCAATTCAACAAATTAAGAGCAGCAAGTGTTTCTCTCAATGCCACGCCTGCAGCAAAATCATCGGTTTGGGAATTCTTGCATAGAGTAGGCCTCTTTTGAGAATGCAAGAAGAAGAAAAAGTTTAATCTGTTTAACTTTGGGCGTATACATATCATGGCTTCAAGTCTGTATCTTACTTGTCATGCATAATAAGAATGGAATGGAATAGGGTAGGATAGAAAAGGAAAGAAGAGAAGAGAAATTATAGAATGGAATGGAATAATGAATAGAATAGAATAGATTGAAACAGAATAAATAAAGAATAGAATAAGAATAGAATAGAACTAAGAATGAAAGAATAGAACTAAGAATGAAAGAATAGAATAGATTAGAATACAATACAATAGAAATATAGATTTTTTTCTATTGCTAAAGCCATTTGAGATAAATGGTTTTCCGGTCAATCAGATATGCATGATCCAAAATAACTCATTTTCAGTTTAGACCAAAAACAACACCCTCAACTCTCCAAGATTTTTAAAGTGCCCTATTTGGGCTCTTTTAAAGCAAATTGTTTTGCTTTTTTAACACCGATTTTCAAGTGTGGCCTTTCGAATGTGTTAGTCATGCCTGGTTAGTGAGAAGGGGGAGGATGCTGAAAATATATAGATTACATCAACAATAAAAATGTATTGTGTTTGTAGCATATTAATAGCTTCGAGGTGGGGAAAAAAATCACCCCTAATATTCTCCTTGAGGAGGGGGAAAAAAATAAATTTTTTGCTGGTCGTTTGGAGGCAATTTCGAATCACCGCCGGTGACCAAGGAAAACAGACATCTTTAAGGTTTGCAGATAGTCCCTTATCTCCTTTACCCAGGTGGGAGGAATCCCCATTGAAGCAAACGCTTTATTTCCTTTTATCTGACAAGAGTCGAGGTTCTTGGAGAGGCCTCTGGATTTTTACCTTCCTTTCCATGACGTCAAGAGGGGGCTTGGAAGGCGGATTTGGACACCGAAAAGACGACAGGTTGCAGGCGCCAGAAAATATAACGCGCGACAAAACAGAAGCTTGGTTTGCATAACCCGGTTCCAAATTGAACCGGAGGGATTTGGCCGGAGGCTAATTGCATTTGTTATTGGCGGCTCTGACAGTCTACGGCGTTTTCCCCGTCGTTGGGATTTAAGGATAAACCACAGTAAATAAATTTGGGGATTGTCAACGGCAGTAGCCACAGCTGTCGGCTTCCTGCCTCTGGGCCGGAAGAGGGGAGATGCTGTAGGAACTACCTCGTTTTTCTCCAAAGTAGAGGGTCTGCTGAGCAGGATTGGACCACTGGAGCGAGGAATCTTCTGGATCCTCCACTTTGCAGGAGAGGATGACTTTCGAACCCGCCACCACGACTTCATCGGAGGTCGCCGGCTGGCTTCCTGTTTAAAAAAATAAATCTATCTATATATATATATATAAAAGCGAAATATGCCACTCACGCATCGTCACAAAATCTCCAGCACCATAAAGCCTCCAAACTTGAAATTTGGCACATAAGTTCCTCTTGGCTCCTAGGGGCTCACTAAGAAAGGATTCTTCGAAAAGACCACCAGAGCATTCGTATTTCCTATATTATTATTATTATTATTATTATTATTATTATTATTATTATTATTA